ATGTGGACAAGGTTCTTCCCGGTGGTGGAAATGGCCAGATATCTGATCAGTAGTGGGGCTATCGGCCGGGTGGTTGCATTGCATGCGGATTTTGGTGCGTTTCGGGGAGGGGAAAGGATTGTGGGAATCTAGCGTGGAAAGATACCGCGACCGAGGTCGATGGTAGTTTGAAGCGAGTGGAAGACAGCGATCTTAATCCTTGTCCTTGCCTTAACCCTCTCTTGGTGACTGCAGGCTTTAATTCGTCCGACTCGGAAGGGTACCCGGATTCCCCTTTCTTCAATCACGTCCTGGGCGGGGGAGGGTTGCTGTTCGTCGGCGTCTACCCCATCTCCATGGCCCCCCTCTGCTTCGGCTCGCGGATGCCGACTAAAATCGCAGCGGCGGGTGTGGTGGACGCCCCGACTGGGGTAGATCTCTCGGGGGGCGTCATTTTAGAGTACGAGGGAGGACGGGAAGGGGGGGGATTGGCAGTACTGACGTATAACTTGATGGGGGAAACGCCGGAGGAGACAACGATAGTCGGCACGGAGGGAAGGATCAAGATACTAGGACCTGCGCATTGCCCCACGCAAATGGTTCTGTATCGGAAGCACAAAGGTCGCAGAAACGTGCAAGCCTTTGATTTTGAATATCCGTTACCGGCGCCGTTACCCGCGGTGGAGGCAACGGGTGGATTTAATTATCCGAACAGTCAGGGCTTCATGTACGAAGCTGCTGCGGCCCAGAGGTGTGTCTTGGCTGGATTAGGCGAGACACCCCAATACACGATGGAAGAAACCTTAATCGTGGCGAAAATCATGGATGAGGTGAGAAGACAGTTGGGAGTCCGGGCGGTCGGGGGGGGGGGTGAAGACGGGAAGGGCACCAAATGACCCAGCCCCTGATACCGATAAAGGAGTTTAGAGGCCTTTGAGCCTGGGAGGAAGAAGTGACGGGTGTGGGCCAAAAGGAAAAGAGGTGGCGGGGGCAAGGGAGATGCCGGGGAGAAAGATGGATATTGTGGCCTTTGGGCCTGAGGAATCACCTCACGATGGATGGTTTTGCACAACAACATATTTCCTACACGTGCCCCACGGGCAAGCAAATGCTTTCTTTCGTGCAAAGTTTGCTCCCAGTGCCTTCTTTGCTACTTCGACTGAGTGGTCACAGATTGAAGAGATGCTTATGTACAGAATTTCCTCTCTATCAGTACCTCCCAACCTCTTTCTGTGCATGTGTGCTGGGAAAAAACAATTATCCGATCAATTCCACCGCCTTTTGAATGATCACAAATGCGGCCACCACTCCAATTCCTCCCAGCACCACGTTCCCTCCCGGCACCAGCCGCAAGTACTCTTCTCCCTCCCCCCCTCCTTCCACCCCTCCCCCGGTCGCTTCTTGGCTCCGGTGCCGTACGATGGCCGCCATAACCGCGGGGATGATGCCAAAGAGGACGCAAATCCCAAACGCCCCCGCATTGTCCAAGGCGGAGAAGAAAATGTCCGGGTTGACCAGCGCCACTGCCAAGGGGGGGAAGAGGATCAAGCTGTAGGCAAGCATGTCTTGGTTGTGGGAGAGGTGCCGGGTGCCAGACCGGGCCAGGGCCCCGGAGAAGAGAACGTCCTTGAAGAAATCTTTGAGGCCGTAGACAAAGCCAGTGAAACTGGTGACGATGGCCACCTCCGAAAAGAGGGAGATCAAGTTCCCCAGCGTGTGGCCCGCGCCGCCCGCCCGCAGCACCGCCAAGGGGTCAATCGTCCCGCCCGAGGCGCTAGTGGCCGTCAGTATGGAGGCATCGATGTTGCCCAGGATCACGGCGTTCCAGGCCAAGAACATAAGGAGCGGGATACCGGAGCCGACGACGATGGAGGTCCGGATTTTGTCTGCGTCGCCTCTCAGGCGGTAGCTGATGACGGGCACGATGTTATGGTAGACCTGCACGGGGAGGAGGGCGGGCGGGAAGGAGAGGGAAGGGATAAGGGCGGGTTGACGTCCAACTCAAGCCTTCCAGAGGCTTTGATCCACGTACCAGGGCCACAAACATGACGGGAATGGAAGGGAGCATGGCCGTCCAGTTGGCTCGCATGAGGCCCCCAGGGTCGGCCCGGGGACCTGCCGCGGCCACAAGGGCCAGAAACGCCACCACCACCACCCCAACCAAAGCGTCGTTGGCACTATCCAGCCATTTTTTGTTCCCAAAAGCCAAGGCTCCCCCCAAGACTGCCGTGAAGAGCACGGGTGCCACCTGTGCCGGCAGGACCACGGCATCTCCTCCCCCAAATCCTAAGGCGGCTCCTGCGCCTTCTAAGGCCCCTGTGAGGATATCCCCGCCTTGGGCAATGTACGCAACCAGCAAGGCATAGTGCAAAAACATGTAGACAGCGCCTGTCAGGTTGGCCCCTGTATCCCCGATCGTCCTCCGGGCCATGCTGACCAGTCCGCCGTCGGGTTGGTGGGATTTCCCCGCCACGTTCAGGTTGACCTCGGCAATGAGCAGCCCGGTCGTGACCATGTACACCCAGGCCGCGCTCAAGCAAAGGGAGGACGGGAGGAATCCGGCCTTGATGGTGAAAGCAGGCAGGGCTAAAATCCCCGCCCCGATTGTGGTGCCCGCCACCAGGGCGATGGCGCTGGTGAGGGTGAGAGGCTCAGAGTCCTCTGGCTCTGTGGTTGGTAGAGAACGGTCCTCCGTGCGTTGTCTGCTTTCTGCCACGGGCATCGCAGTCTCGATCATGGCCATGGCGTCACTTCGATCGGAGGATGCAGGATTGAGACGCGTTAACCTCTCCGACACTGCCCGGATGAACGTGGGTGCCCGCCTTTGCTCTTTTTCCTGTTTGTCAAGGGATTCTTGCACGTCAAGAACGGGTGGATCTTGCACATCCACGGCACCTCCCACTCGCTTTTGGAAGAAGAGCGGTCCAACATTTCTCTTGCCGGTGCTGTCCCCGCCTCGGGTTCGAATTATTAATCCAGTCGAGGTTGTCGCTCTCCCTGCGGGGGGCACCGAAGATAAGGACGCCGCCGAGACAAATGCATCGGTGCCCGACACCAAAAGGCCTAGTGAGAGCGAAAGTTTCAAGACGAGGGCAGTGATGCTGGGAGTGGCCTTCGAGACTGAGGAACGTATGCTGTGGCGTTGCACTCCGTCGTACGTGGAGGGTCTCATGATTTTTGTAATCCACTGTTAAGCGTGTCGTGCCTCAAATGATTTGAACTTGTAGACGTCTCCAATACTATGTTGTGGCAAATTTTGCAGCGGTCAATTGTGAGATATTCGTCGTGGAAATCAGTTTCTTTGCGACACCATAGCTCCGACGATGGCGACACGTCACCCCCAGATCTATTCCGCTCACGCCTATGCGCCTGAGGTACATTGTCCAAACTTCTGACAAGTACGCTCGAGTCGAGCCGGCCTCCAATATCAATGCAACGCATCACTACGGGAGCTGTGCCAAAATGGGTCGTCGGGTGCACGTTCATGGGTTTTGGGCCCTTCAGCCTGGATCAGTCGATTTTGCAGTCTTCTCGCTTTTTCCCGGAGCAGTGCATGTTCTTCACGGCCTGCCACCACCGTAAGAAATTAATAGCCCTGCCAGTACGTCCCATGGGCGGCATGTGTGGATGGTGCTTGTCGGCAGTGGAGTTTAGGAGTGTGCATGCGACCATGTGTCTTTCTTCCATGCCCTCTGTTGCAGGACTCTGGTGCCAGGACATGTGAGGTGCAACGAGGCTCATAAAATCCCCCCCCTCCACGCCCTTTATTTGCATTCCACTAATACCAGGAAATGGGGGGACATCCGTCCAAACCTGCCCGTCATGGAAGATGCTGTAATTCAAGAGAACGAGCCTTCATGCTCGTGTCTTGGGATGCTGCATTTTTGACCCGCATGATGCGTTCCGCAACCTCACTTGAAGACAATGGGAGAGAGGTCGACGCGGCACAGCGGGTGATGGATTTAAGCCAGATATTCGCGGTCGCCCCGCCTCCTGTTGTGGATGCCCGTCGTTTGCTAACTCTGGTGGAGCAGGGCGTTCAAAATCAGTCTGCAACCACACTCAACAACACCACCACCCCCGTCTTTCGATGGGTTCGGGCCCGCCTGGTCCTTTTCGCCCCCGAGGTCACGCCGTCCCTGGCCCAACTACAGCAAAACACCCGCTTGTGGCGTATTTTCCGTCGCCGGCGCTATTTTCCTGTGTTGGGGCCTCGGGATTTGCAAGCACAGGTGGTTGCTCAAGCATTGAACCGCTTCCAGCGTCACGCCAAGCGCCACGGCCCGGGTGTGATTGTCATTGTCGCCGGGGACGGGGCTTTGGAGGCAGTCCCTAGCTTTGCCACCTCCTTGCGCGCGATGCTCCGGTGGGGCCATCGTTTGGAAGTGTGGTCGTGGGAAGGGGCTGTCCCCCCCCTCTACATGGAACTGGCAGGGGAGTTGGGAGAAGGAAGGGTCCGTGTGTTTTCTCTGAATGCACACCGGCACATGATACGGTACCGATCAGGAGGTTTCGAGGACACCAGTGCCTCCGTTAGTGCCTCTGCTCGTGGAAGGAGTGGGGAAGGAGAGGGAGCCTCCAGCTCCCAGGTCCTCCCCTGGGGTGGCACTTCCTCGCCCTCCCGGTGACGGAGAGCTGCCCGTTGCCATGCCGATGGCCACGCCCGTAGAGGGAGAGGGGATGTCTATCCTCGCGCAAGTCCAAGGGTGGCTGTCCCCGCTCGGAAAAGAGGAGGGAGGGAGGGAGCGAGTGAGCGAGCGAGCGAGGAGGGTGGGGCGCCGAGGTCTCTGGATTCTCAAGAGGGGAGAGTCGTCGAAGGAGGGGAGGAGGCGGAGGAGGAGGAGGAGGAGGAGATGGGACAGGAGGGAGGCAGGGTCGGAGGAGGGGAGGAGGAGGGGGGGGAGGAGGGGGAGGAGGAGGAGGGGGAAGACGCAGAGGAAGAGGAGGAGAAAAAGCTTCACGCGCTCTCTGCGCTGTCGATGTCAGGGAATGAGGAGGAGGAGGAGGAGGAAGATGCAGCGGAAGAGGAGGAGGAGGAGAGGGAGGACGACGACGAGGCTCCGGAGCCTTTTGTGGACCCGCTGAGCATGGAGGTCATGCGTGACCCGGTATTGACGCCCTCCGGGTATTCTTACGAACGCGCCGTGATCCTCGAGCAGATTCGACGGCGGGCCTTGGACCCCATGACGCAGGAACCTTTGCAGGAGACAGACTTGCGGCCAAACCGGGCGCTGCGGGAGATGATCGAGATCTGGCGGTGCCAGCGGCAGAGACGCCAGCAGCCACTGCAAGACGAAGAGAAAGCTGAAAAAGGCACGGTGCATGCTGCGGAGGGCGGTGTCGGGCGGGAGTGAAGCCCGGGGAAGCACCAGCGAAGGAGATGGGCGGGACTACGGCGAAGTGGCCCGTCACACGGCTTGAATTTCCATCCCAGATGGTCGAATAGATTCGAGCGGGTGCATCCCCACGACGTGTGCTGGCATCCCCCAGGCTCCCGGCTGGCTGTGGCGGTGGCCACGTAGGGAGGCAGCGTCGGGAGGAATGGTGCCTGTGCTTGGATGTGGCTCTTCGCAGATGTCCTCTTTCCAAGGGAGCTCAACGTGGAAGGGAACGGACTGGAGCACCCTGGGGCTCTGATCTGTGGCGCCACCCCGCCGTCGGCCAGCCCTACGACTCTCCTTGCACTCCTAGTTGAAGCCCTCGTATCCCCGCTTATTAATCTTCCCACAACAGATTTCGGTTGCGTTCGACTGGATCAATTGCGAGGCCTCTTTCTCGCATGTAGAGACTGGGGTACCTCTCTCGGTGGTCACGCCGTGGGCACGTCCTCCGTGAGCCTGTTGCATCTCGCCATTCCCTGTCTGAATCATGCCCTCTGCATTTCTGTCTCTAGACTTGCCCATGAGGAAGGAGCCCATCGGATGATGTGCCCGATAGGATTCCTTTAGTCAGCGCTGAAGTCGCAATCTATGCATTTCCCGAGGTGATAATGAACCGTGGGTGTAATCGAGGCTCTGAGACTTTGTGCGCGAATGGGGCCTCATGCAAAGGCAAAGGATCTGGAAGGGAAGGATCGAATGACAATAAGAGTGTTCCTCTTGCATCATGGAACGGCCCATGGTTTTCGCTGTCCCGTTGGGTGCGAAGAGTTGTCTCAACCTTCTCCCGCCGAAGGTCACGACACCAAGCAGCGTAAACAAAGCAATGTATGTCGTTGCTAAAAATCGGGTGACTGCCGTTAAAATTACTTTACTGTGTCGTTGCGCGTCTCCTCTTCTAAATGTTCCTAACGCCACCCGGGTTCGCGATATGAGGCCTAGACGTGCTTTATGATCGGACCCGCTTTCCAGACAATGTTCAACGCATCCTACTGTTTTCCGACATCCAGGTCTCCTTTTTCCGAGCCCTCTCGTCACTTCACGCCAACAGCTGTGTTCCTCCCTCCCACGATCCGTCACATTTCCCCCAAACTTTCCACCCCTTTCCCACGTCAGCAAGAAAACTCGAGCGCATCTGGGAAGTATTGGTGGCACAACTTCTTCATCTCCGCCACTGTAGCCGAACCGGCGTCCAATTCCTTCCCCACCACCTCCACCACCTGCCTTAGACCCTTGACAGTTAGCCCCCGGCATTGGCCCTTCTGTAACTCTTCGCGGATCAATCCGATGGCTACTTCAGTCGCGCCTGGCTCCGTTTTGGCAAGCGCCACACCGCGTGCGGCGGCCAGCACGTGGGGCAAAGATGACCAGGCTCTTGCTTTCTCAACGTATTCTGTCACGTAACTCCCGAGATTTTTCTTCTCTCCCAGCAATCTTTGCTTCTCTGCATCGATGACCGCCGCCGAGGTAGGGTGCAAAGAAGCAATCCATTCCTGCTTCCCTCCCTCCCCGCCACTCTCTCCCATACCTGTCCAAAAATGTACCGTCCGACGAAAGACATCCGGGTGCATGGGCCTGAGGGCATGAGCGCGAATCAAGGCTTGCAATGCCAACAAAGCCTTGCCTCGTTTACACGCGACGTCGTAAGCCAACATGTGCGTTTCCACCACTTTGCCCGCATGCCGCGTCAAATACGCTACAACCCGCTTCATTTCCGTCAGAGGCTCGCGCTCTATCAATTTCATACCCTCAGGGTCCTCGTCCACTACCCCTTTGCCTCCATCACCGCCTTTCTTATTCGTGGTTGACTTCCCTTTTCCTTCTTCCTCTCCCTCCTTCCCGCCCCCCGCCCCTCCAGCGTTTGCCACCCGAGTCGCCTTCTCTGCAGCTGCTTTCTCTGCGGCCTCCGCCTCCAACTTTTTCGCAGCTTTTCGGGCCTTCGCTTTCTCTTTCTTCTTCTCCGCTGCCGTCATACCCGCGTACGCGTCCTTCCCCTCCACCCCTTCCTCTTCCTTCGGCATCTCTAGCACGGCCATGTAGCAGTCCAGCATGCCCCGGGCCGCAGCCAAGTAGTACGGGTGGGCCAACAAGCCATCTTCCAGACGCAGAACGTCGACGTAGGCGCGCAAGGTCATCTTCCGCACACAATAGTTGTGAAAATCGAACTGGTCCTCCACAAAGTCCGCGAAATGTTTCTCCACTGCCACGTAACGTTTCAAGGCCTTGGCAATCAACGCCCGCCCCCCTCCCGACGGCTTCGTGGCCTCCGAGAAGATGGCATGGGCCCATTCCAACTCGTACCACATGCACTGCATATCGGTCAAGTAGACCTGAGGATCCCCCTCATGTTTGGCGAAGAGGGCAATCACGTTCTGGGCAGCCTCCACCTGCCCGGCCCGCAACAAATATTTCGTGGTCTGGTTGTTCAAATACCGGTCCGACAAGTCCAACTGACGCGCCTCGTCCATCACCACGGCCGCATCCGTGACCCTCCCACCCTTTTTCAAAAGCCGGGCTCGGCGTTGGAGGAAATCCAGTTTCGCCCCGGTATCCTCACCGCAGGCGGCGAGGCACTCCTCGAGCAATTTCAAGGCCTCCGGGATCTCCCCGGCGGACTCCAGCAATTGGACTTTGAGGTACTTGGCCCACAGGAGGGTGGTCGTGACGTCGAAGGCTTGGGATGTGGAGGGGGAGGGGGAGGACGAAGGGGGGTGCGACCCGTTTTGACAGGGGGCGACCGAGGTGGTGGGGGAAGGGAAAGCGCCGGTCATGGCGAGGGTTTCTATGTACTCGTCCACCAGCAGCTGGACAATTTGGAACCGCTTGTTTTTTCGTAGGTCATAAGCATCCTTGGCTTGGATGCGTCGGCCATTCTCGGGATCTTCGGTCCGAAAAAGAGCGGCCAATTCGGAACCCAAAGCGGGCAACCCCCGGGCCAAATGCCGGCGCATGTACGCATCGACCCGCGTTTTGAATGCCTCCCCTTCCAAAAATGTCAAAGGTACCTTCTCACAGACTAAGGAATGTGGCTCTGCTCTTGCCAATTCCCCGTAAGCAGCCAGCAGTTGCTGGGATGCGGCCTCGTCCAAGTCCCCGGCAGCCGAGCTGGGCAGGCTCGCTTGGGGTTGAGCAAACATCGCCGCGCTGTTGCTCGAATCCCGGCGCAAAAGGGCGCACTGCCATCCAAGATGGTATTCGTAGTTTTCGCTGTTTTCTGCCAAGAGCGCCCGGTAGGCTTCCAGGGCCTTTTCAAATTGTTCCGACGCGAGTAAGAGGTGCGCCCGTCGAGTCCGCCAAGCTAGTCCGTCCATCACGAAGCTTTTCTGGGACTCGAGCCAGGACAAGGCCTCCTCCTTTCGCCCTGCTTGCTCTAAGAGCATGGCTTTGTACAGGACAAGCTCGCCTTCCTCGAAACCCCGCTCCCTTTTCTCCAACGTGCCCAAGAACGAGTCGATGACGGAAAGGGCCATGCCTAAATCCCCGGATAAGTGATTCGCCAAGACGAAGCCGATCCAATGCACCTTTAATTTGCAGTTCTCGCTCAGTATTTTTCGGCGTGTCTCCACAAAGCCGTCCAAGTCTCGCATCTGCACCTGCAAATTTGCCAAATCCTTCAAAATTTGCATGTTCGACGTATCAATGCGCAGTGCATTTAGGTAGCACTTTATGGCTTCCCCATGGTTCCTGTCGGAGCGATGCAAGAGCCCGAACACGTGCCAACAAACATGACTTCGAACGTCGTTCCGCAAACCTTGTTTGACCAGCTCATACGCCTCCTCCTTCCTCTCCATACAGTTTAGAATCAGCCCTTTCATCGCCTGCGTCTCGCCGTGGGAGGGGTATTTTCGAAGGATGGAATCGGCCGCCTTTAACCCTTTTTTGTACTGCTTTGTTTCATAGAACTTAACGATAGATCGGAATAAATCATGTTCCTTCTTTGACAGCTTCCGATTGTCGGGGATGGCCGCCGCAACACCGACGGCCATGCTGGCATGTCATGTGAAACGAGAGGACACGAGGGAGTGGATGAGCACCAAAACTATGCTTACATACGCCGTCATTGATCACGATCATTTTTCTATATCACAATGACGCATACTTGACGAATTTACCGCTTTTGAATGAAAAATGTGAGAGTAAAATATTGTCAACGTGGTCAACTAAACGAGGGGAGGCTAGCTGCTCTTTCACATAAAACGTCTCCATGCTACAGGCCGACGCCGCCCGTGTCCACTGAAAACAGAATACCGCATTGTGACCCTCATACTATCTGTTGTGCAATGCAGTACGGCAAATGCAGCTGTACAGCGCGTGCAAAAAGTAGCCAAATGAGGGCACGCAGCCTACTCAGGGCAGGGGGTGTATCCTTCTTTCAGACCGACCGCCTGTTAGCACCACAGTGTGCAAAAATGTAATGGCGCGGTAGCAATGGCAACGACTGAAAAACACACCGGGTGAAACCTTCTTCCCAAGTGGTGCACTTCACGTGTCACGAGAAGTCTGGGCTGCCCGAAAAAGGAGGACGCAATGGCATCTCAAAAGGCAACACGGTCCAGCGAGCCCAAAGCCGTCGCTTGGCTGGGCAACGATGCATTATGTGTCGAAGTGTGGATGTAGTCCAACTCAAGGCTAGCAGGCGCAGAAGCAGCACTTGTAGAATACGGGGGTAGTTGTGAAGGTAACAATGTACGTGTGGACGTCTTTCATGACGGTATCGCGTTTTGTGGCCATGCTTTTACCAACGAGGGAGGAAAGCCTGCACGCGTTACCGGGTGCTTTTATGCCTTTCTTCATGAAGACATAGGATTAAAAATGCGCGCCATTTGACACGCATTTATCCATCACTGTTGTTTCCGCAATTCTTGTCATTCAGATTGAGCTGAACGCGTCTAAAACGGCCCAGCCTCCGCCTGGTTTTGACGGTCAAGGCGAGAAGCTTGTGTCGGACCATTTCCCCTTGCCGGGGTCCACGACAAGACGTGCCAAAAACACCGGCGGCAACAAAGACAGGAATAAGAGTAGGGGAAAACGCCTGCTCTGAAAAGTTGTGGAGAAGCACAAGTAACAGTCAATCGGACTCGGGCAGTCTCTCATCCGGAGGGGAGGTCAGCAGACCAAGCAGAGTGGTGGTGAGAGTGCAAGCAACCCTGAGGCTCTTC